GCCATTCTGAAATTAGATTTCACGTTTGCTATTTATAGTAAATGCATAAATTTGTGTATTATGAACCAATTTATGATTTTTGATTTATGATTGCTATAAATTGTGCAGAGAGGACATTTTCCCCCCTCTGGCAATTAATAGGAATATCCAATGGACACAGTTAGGTGTAACCATATTTTAATTTAAATGTACATTCTCTAATGTAATCTCCTTAAGACCGCCTGGTATTTTGCAGGAAAATCACCATGTCTAGTTGGCACCTTTTATGAAATAGCTGTGGTTTTTAAAAATATGCTAATTGGTTGGATTAGTAACATGAATAGATCCTGTGGGAAGACCAGCTTTTAAAGTTCAAGGTTTGAAACTTGTAATGAATTCAGATCTGCTGCAGAGCTTCATACTAGCTCAGTGGTGTGTGTTACTACATGCTGTTCCATAGAAATTAACAATCACTGACTTGTGTCTGCTAATGTGATGGTGAACCTTTTCAATTTTGACAGACTTGCACAATAACTGGTAGGTGTCCGTACAGCATGGTGAACAATACATGGCACATAAGTTGTCTATGATTGGTAATGTCATTATCTTTTGCTTCTTTGCCTAGGAAAATTGACCACTTACTTTAGTTAAATTGTATCATAGGAAGTCTGGAGTGAAATGAGATGACAAAAACAAATATGAAAATTTTTAGAATACAGAACTGCAAAGTTCCAGACCAAGTTTTTATGTGTCTCTAACATAAGTGAATTTCCACCCGTTATACCTATTATCAAGGTGACAAAATGAGTGGAAGCTGTTACAGGGAGTGGAAGGCAATTGAGAGCAAATTTTGCTCAACTGCTCCTGTGCACTGACTTTCAGGCTTCGATTGTGAAAACCTGTGTGAATGTCATCCTAGCTAACTTTTGGCCAAGTAATTGTATGTGACATGTTTGAGAACTGAGAAGAGGGAAGAAAATAAACTTGAAAATGGGGCAAAAGTGTCAATGAAAGTTGAAGTGTTTTCAATCACTGAAGCAAAAAGAATAATAAAACATTTGGATCGATTAATAGATACATGAAATAAATGTTGTTCCTGAAACTTTCTCCTCACATTTGCTCAAAGATTTAATAAAGCCACTGTTCATTCCGGTGCCTAAATGTGTTGGCAGACCAATGTCGTGGACTAAACCATGCTAGAAGTCAAATGTTGCTCGACTTTTCAATACCTCTTGTTGTGGAAAATCAAGAATGATCCTGTGTCTCATCATTTGGTGTCTAGACCGTCATTGTATTTCAGTACCCACTTACATTTGTAAACTTGTTAAATGATAGGCAGGGAGAGTCCAATGAGTCCCTAAAACTTGACTGGCTTAAACATCATGACTAGACACTCCCTGCTCTTACTTTCCTGCTCCTAAAGTCATGTCATGTCATATGATCCTTTTAGTTACATGATCCAAACTTTGTTTTAAAAATACCTCTATTAAATGTCTCCTTTAAGTCCACATAACTGAAGCATTTTAATGATACCATTCTAGGTGGGAAAGTTGAACACAGGGGATTTAAGTGGCATGGTGACAGAGCAACAGCTGATACAGGGCATAAAAAGAAAAAACTCATTTTACTTTTAGTCCTTTTGATTCTAGTTTAAGTTGATTAAATATATAAACTGAAGTTTGTGGATTTTAGTACCAGAGGACCACATTTGCAGCAAATGCCTGCATTTTGAGGAACTTTAGTTCACAGTGGTTCAGCTAGCATTTGAGGTGCGGTATATGTGGGAAACCAGGGAGGGGAGTGAGTTCAGTCCAAGGGACATACACACCCTAATGGTGAGGCACTCCGTCATGGTGAGGAAATGATACAGCTCTAACATGTACTGTGAGATTGCAATTTAATTGTATAATGGGACCCAGGTGTAATGAAGCAGGAAACTTCACTTTTCTGCTTCTCCAACACATATGAGGTTATTGAAGCATGTGTGAATGAGAATGAACTCTGCAGCATGACTGAGCAAAGTGACTACAGCACCATTGTATAGGCAGTTCAGGAGTGGTGGTGGGTAGTGGTGGTTTGGTCGTTTGGGGGGCATTTTCTGCCTGCTGCCAGACTTATCTCTTCATGGCTGGAGAGGAACCTTTAAATGGGAAGAAAAGAACCAGGTTGTGGTGGCCTACAGAGGAGCCAGCAACTCAGAATCAAGAATGAGGTTTCTCTACCTGATTTGAAGAGTTAGGTTTCTGTTAATTGTGGATCTCAGTGACAGATCTCTAGATTGTTACCTGAGCTCGCATAGAGATAAACAAATCAGAAGGATAAGAGTTGGCCAGAAGAGTTGCATTGGAGGCAAAGCTATCAATTCATGGGACACCAGCATTGAGGACAAGGGGGCTATGTTGTCGAGGTAGACGCCACTTAGATTGGGACCTATGTCCAATCATCAAGGAAGTAGGATGCTTGATGGGTTTTAAATAAAGGGATTGAAAAGATTCAAAAAAGAATGAATTCAGAATTAGTAACAGAAATATCAAGGTTGCAAAACCCAGTAATGATATCGGTAAAAGTAAGCAGAGTCAGGAAGGCACAAAGCACGCTACCAAGTTATATTTCCAAGTTGAATGAGACATTATTAACTATGGTGACATCAGGGAAAAGAGAAAATAGTTAAAGACACCATATTTGAATGTGTCAAGTGTTCGCAATAAATGAGTAGATGAATATAATAGAGAAATTAATCTCACAGATGAAAATTAATCTGTTTGATCCAATAGCTGTTCAGAGATATGGTTGCAAGGTGAACGAAGTTGGGAATTAACTATTCCAGATACTTAATTTAGAAGAGAGAGGCAAAAATGGAAGGCCAGAAAGGGTTTTTCTGTTATAAAGAACAAATGAAAGGTTAGAGAGAAGAAATATTAATTCAGAAAATCAACTTCGGTGGAATCTTCAAGTCTGGGAGGTGGGAAAGCAATTTATTTTGTTTGCCCCGGCATCCCAGAGCCCCTACTGTTTTCATGCTCCCGCTGGAATTGAGTTCCGGGTAGGAAGGCCCATGCTTAACCTTCCTGAACTGCCTCAATGGAAACACTGGACATCAAAGACCTCAGCTCCAGGTGGAACAAAAGAGAGATGATCCACCCAACAGTTAAACCAATGCAACCAGCCTTGAAGGGATGGGAGCCCCTTGATCTGCACTAAATTGCTGCGTGATTGAGAGACTGGACATAGAGTAGTGGAGTAGCTGCTGATAGCCAACCCCTGCCCTTACTTCTGTTCCCCCGTTCCCTGCGACACTCAACCCAGAAAACCTTCTGCCTTGCCAGGAAAGCACTTAACTGACACTTTGATCCCTGCCTTCTTGGTGGCATTGCCAAGTGTGAGCTGGATGGGACTTCCACCCCTAGGAATTAATTCAGGCCCACCACAGCCCCCAAAGTGACCTAATTGGAGGAAAGTGCAGTGAGCATTGCTGTATTGAGTCCACTTGAGTGTCTTGCCACACTTTGAGCAAGCAAACAAGACATCTGACAAAATGCTCTCAGAGACAACTCCGGTTATGCAATGAAACAACAATGCACGGAAATGACATAGGTGTAGTTTGTAGTGAACAGTGGGAGACATGAGGAAATTGGAGGCATGTTTAACAGTGATTTACTCCTGTAATCATAGACACTCCAATCTCCATTTGGACTACATAACCCAACTTTCCAGTAATTATGTCGAAGAAGGTTAATGTGGAGGATTATAGCCAGTATGTGTACTGTCTACGTATAATTGATCTTGCTTAATTTAAATCATTCATAGGTTTTCAATGTTAAATTCCTGCTCTCATGTAATTTGCATTGTTTCATTCCAATTACTGGAAAATTTAAATATTTCAAGTTTGAAATTATCAGGAATAATCTGTGTAGATGGAAAGAATGTTACTTTGGTTTGGATTGTTTTGAAATCTTAAGTACTGCACTTGGCACTATTCAGTATTTCAAATACACCAAGGATTATTAATGTAAATTCTATTTATTAAAAACCACTAGTTAATATCTTTTTAAATAACATTTTGAATTAAATATATGTGTGAGGTGTGTTTTTTTAATTTTATGAAAAATCTGTTTAATTAACTTTTCATATGTAAATTGTTTTATCATGAGACTGAAATATTAACTTAGTCCAGCCTCATCATTTTAAATAAAAGTATTTCTAATCATTTTGTTTTAATGTAGATTTGTCCTAAATAGTCTAATTTATACCTTGCATATGTATTAACAACTGAAAACCAGTTTGCTGAGTGCTGTAATGTACTGATCGTCTTCCATGCTAGAGGGCCACATACGTTTTGATAACCTGTCTATTTACCTAAGGATGAACAGGGTGGTGATTAGTTCAATATAAATCATTTTCTATCTATTGATTGTTTGAAGCATTAGTTTGTTTTGCAGGTTGTGAATGTGAATGTCTTGATGTGAGGAATGGCTTTCCTGGGGTGATCAGTTTACGTTGCTAATTTATCTGCAGTCAGTGAATTCAAACATGTTGAAGATATTTTTAAAAGTCTAAATTATAAATGTACTCTTAGGATCCAGCTTTAGGTTGAGTAATAAAAGACAGATTTATACCTTTTGGTAAAATAATTGCGTAAATTTAACAAGCCATCACTCAAGTACCTTTCAGCTGAACTCCTCCTTCACTCCCCAAAAGAAGGCTTAAATCAGTTCAGTAAAGTATTTGTTAAGTTAAATTTAATGCAAGATAATCTTGTAATGAGTGGTAAAAGGTTGAATTTCTGAATGTGTGATCATTTCATGACTAGAGTCTTGCAGATGAAAAATAAAATTGAACTGGATTATTAGTGAAGACTGCCTGTTGTGTTGCTTTTGATGGTATTTGGTATGCCAAAATTTTAACTCCTAGCCTGCATCTAAGAGAAGATTTCCTGGAAGCCAAATGCTATTAGTGAAAAGTATAAGCTGCCACTTTTTCTCATTAATTTAAATATTGATGAATTTTATTTTTCCTTTCAGGTTTCAAGTGCCCAATTTGCTCAAAATCTGTAGCTTCCGACGAGATGGAGATGCACTTTATAATGTGTCTCAGCAAGCCACGACTCTCCTATAACGGTAATGTACCAAATACTTCTACACTTGCAGTATGTGTGTTACTATTTCTTTAATGAGAGTTGACAAAGAAGTGCAGTACATTTTCCTGTGAAGTGTTTTGTGTTGCCTCCATGTAGACAATGAGGGAGAGGATGATATATTGGCAGATGGTAGAACATGATCTTGTATCAATAATCCCTTTTCTAATTTTCTGATCTTAGTCTTGTGGATGTGGGAAATTGCTGAACAAGCATTCCATTTTTTGTTCTTGAGAGGAAGAAGACATCTAAAAGAATCTGGTGGATTTCCAGAGGCTTCCTGGGCCATTTTTGTCCCCACATCCTTCTCCATGCCACACTTGCAATTGATATTAAGAGTTACCACAAGTAGCATCTGTGACTCGTGCCGAATAGAGAATAATTTCTCTAGAGGGAAATGGTTGTTATTATAATCACCTAAAAAGTTGATAATACAGCTGGTCTCCTTTTTGAAATAGTTATGAAATAATACGGCACTCATTTGCTGTGTGGAGATGTTTTGATACCTGGATGTTGATAGATTGAAATTTGGGCATGTTCCATGTCTCTAGGAAGAAGTTTCTTTGATGTTTACTTCAGTCTATCAAAATAAAAGCCCAATAGCAAGCCCAATAGTCCTACACTTTTAGTTGCATATTAAATCTTGCTTCTGCTTCTATGTCACCTGTCATTTCTATATATTTGTAATCTATGTATATGACTGGTCTGACACATTTACTGTAAATTCTGTGGTAACTTCACACATTCCTCTCAACCTCGAATCTGCTGCTATCTAGTTCAAGGTCTGATAGAACTGTCAGTGCAAGAGATGGATCATTGGAACAGTCAATATTATTCTTGCCAATGATACTAATTTTACTGTTATGCTAGGGAATAAGCCATCAATGAGAAATCACAGAACTGATGTTTTCCACTAGGCACTGTCACAGCTCAAATTGAAGCAGACAAACTCCTTGGTAAAGGTAGAAATAGATCCAGTTCCTGGTCTCATACAGAGCTTTGGTTCTTTTTTCAATCCTTGCCTTATTTTGGGTGAGAGAAACACAGGTTTCAGTCCATATGGTTGAAAGTATAGCCTGGATGATTATTATTGAGATTTCTATTACTGACATTATCTTCATTGTTTCCAAAGATCAGAGGAGCCACTGTTGACAAGTAATTAATATAAAACTGACACAAATTCAACATTATAAATCAAATGCCACACAGGTACATGCAGTGGGATTGCCAAAGCAGATGTGATTGGACGAGTTGCAAACATATTGATGTGCCAAAGCCTTGCTCCATGCAGGTTTTCATTGTTAATTGGACTTTGATAAATGAATTTGCGCTTGTGCTGATTTTTGTATGCTGATGATTTCTATTTTCCTTTGATCATTATGATTGATTTTTGTTGCAAACAGTCGCTTCTATAAACAACTCTTAAAATTGATGAAGCAAATGTGAAAGGCTAACTTTTTGAAAATTAGCAAGTTCTGAAACTTAATTCTGTGACTGCAATTTTGAGCATCTTAACCTCGCCCTTATGTAGAACGAACAATGTCTACTTTAGTGAAGAGTACTTCCAGTGACAAAAGGTTATGTAGTAAGATTTGACAAAACGCATCATTCAAGTAAAATAGCGCACTGGTGGAAGATAAAGTCAGTGCTTGGATCATTTCAACAAATCTTTATCAATCAGAGTACCCTTTAACAGACTTCTTTTATTGGCTTATTAGAAACTTGTTAATACCCATTTTTTGATGTCGGCAGTGGAAAAACAGATTTGTCGTTGTGGAAAAATCTGCCTTAATTGTAAAGTATGATTATTAAGGCAAACTGATGGAGTTTAATAGTGATACTAATTATCTGGCAAGTTTTTTGTTTGCTGGAACAGAACTTGAGTATTGCTAACGAAAGGCACACATTTTGTCGAAGCTTTTCCTTTTGCACTTGGAATCATAGAATCATATCGCACGGAAGAGACCCTTCAATCCATTGAGTCAGTACTGTCAAAAATACACCACTACCTACACCTGTCTCACACTAAGCCCACAGCTTTGAATGTTATGACCCTTGAAGTGTTTTAAAGTACTTTTTAAAGGTTGTGAGGCTATCCACCTCAAATATCCTCCCAGGCAGTGCATTCCAGACTCCCACAACCTTTTGTGTTAAAAAATATGTTTTCCTCAAATTCCCTCGCAACCTCCTGCCTTTCACTTTAACAGTGTGCCCTTTTGTTCTTGACCCTTCAGCAAAAGGGGATGGCTGCTTTCTGTCCAACGTATCCATTCTTCTTATAAGTTGAATACTGTGTACAGTTCTGGTCACCCTGCTACAGGAAGGATATTATTAAATTGAAGAGGGTTCAGAAAAGATTTACAAGGATGTTACTGGGACTGGAGGGTTTGAGTTATAAGGAGAGGCTGGATAGGCTGGGACTTTTTCACTGGAGCATAGGAGGCCGAGGGGTGACCTTGTAGAGGTTTATAAGATCATGATGGGTATACATAAGGTAAATAACAAAGGTCTTTTCCCCAGGGTAGAAAAGTTCAAACTGGAGGGTATAATTTTAAGGTGAGAGGAGAAAGATTTAAAAGGGACCTGAGGGGCAATTTTTTCACACAGAAGGTAGTTCATATGTGGAATGAACCGCCAGAGGAAGTAGTAGATGCAGGTACAGTTGCAATATTTAAAAGACATTTGGACAGGTTCATGGATCAGCAAGGTTTAGAAGGATATGGGCCAAACACAAGCAAGTAGGATTAGCTTAGTTTGGGAAACTTGGCTTGTGTGAACAAGTTGGAGCAAAGTGTCTGTTTCCGTGCTGTATGACTCTGACTCTATCTTATACACCTCTATCAGGTCCATCCTCCGCCTTCTTGGCTCAAAAGAAAGCAACCCGAGCTTATCTAGTTCCTTTTCATTGCTAAAATGCTCCATTCCAGGCAACGTCTAAGTGAATCTCTTCAGCACCTGCCTCTAATGCAATCACAAACGTCCTACAGTGTGGTGGCCAGAACTGCACACGGTATTCCATTTGTGGCCTAACAAAAGTTCTGCATAGCTCCAGCGTAACCTCCCTGCTCTTATAATCTAAGCATCCACTGATTAAAGGCAAGAATTCCACATGTTTCAAGAAGGCAATTCACCACCACCTTATCCAGGACAACAAGAAATGGGTAATAACTGCTGGCGCTGCTCGCGATACCGTATCCCATGACTTTATAAAACAAAACAAGTGAGTTCAGCACCCTGTTCTTTGACATTCTGGATCTTCCACGTTATTCAGCCTTTTTTTTTGTCTTTACTTCTAATTTCACCAAGTTTTATGATGATTAGTTTACGTGTTGATTAAACAAAATCCAATTATTTTTCTTTTTTTTTCAGTCTCTGAACTGCTCATGAATTAATCAAATTTAATTTTCAGCATCTGACTTAATGTGAAAATCCAAACTAAATGTGGAAAGCTTCTGATGGACTTAGGTTTTCCTCATTGCAATCATGTTTGCATTAGAGCTGGTTTTAAATGAGCATAATATTAAAATGGAATTTTCTTTCTTTATGCCTACCCACTTCATTTTTTCACAAAACTATGATTTTGAAAGAGACCCTTGCTGTTATCTAAATGGAATGACTGAACAAGGTGACCAAAGAGAAGCCATGCTTACATGCTAAGCTTTCTGGTCCCATAACAAACCACATCCCACACCAATCAAGATGAATGATGAAAACTTTGAAATTGTGGACCATTTTCAGTCTTTTTGAAATCACCTCTCAACAAAGATGGGCATGGACGGCAAAATTCATCATCTCCAATGTGCCAGCTTTGTCTTCACCTGATTGAGGAAGAGAGTATCCAAGACTAAGGCCATGGGTTACCAGGTAGCATCGATCCCTGCACCGCGCACCTTTACGTTTCAGAGATTTGGAGGAGTTATAGCAGGCACTTTGAAACATTGGAGACAATCGCCTTTGGTGACCATGCAAGGTCTTCCAAATCTAATGGAAAGAAAGATGGTCCTGCATCAGCATGCTGTCATCACACAACTTGTCTGACACTCACACCAGTTCTACTGCATTGGGTATGTCATTCATGTGCCTGACTTGATTGCTAAAGCAACTGCTGTATTTGTATCTGTCCTCCGGAGAATCTTTTGTCATGACGGTGATGTTAAAGGGATGTCTCTAAAGCACCTCTGGAGAGGTTGGACGTAGCTGTTGACTCATGGGAGACCTTGGGCTGTGATCAACCAAAATTGGACTAATTTGGAAATGTATTGAGAGACGTTGTGTATTTTCAGAGACAAAGTCAAGGTGTCAGAAGGAGCACACTAACCTCTAAACTAGCCACACATCACAGATTTCAAGCACCACCTGCCCAAGCTATAACATTTATGTATTCATGGCTAGTTAAGCTTGTAGCAGAACACTGAACTGCTAATTAACAAGGCACGTGGTTCTTTCTGCCCTGAGAACAGCATTTAAACTGATTCCACATGCAGAATCATCCCAGGTTTGCTAATGTCTTTCAGGGAAGGCACTGCCATCCTTACCTAGTCTGGACTACATGTGACTCCAGACAACAATGTGGTTGACTCTTAACTCTGGACAATTAGGGATGGCCAATAAATGCTGGCCTACCCGGTGATGCCCTCATCTATGAATGAAATAAGAATCACATGCGCCATGGAGACAAATTTGGGTATGATGTCCAGCGATGACCTCCCTGATGTTGAGATCAAAAAGTTCCATTTTCTAACCAGGTGTTGCATGTGAGATGTGATTCACACCAGTGAACTGGGAGAGTTCTATCTGCATGGATTATCGCTCGTTATAACGCTCATTACTATCTAATGTCCCCGCATCAATATGCAATTTCCCACTTCCCCCACCTGCAGGATAGAAACTAAATGTGAGAATTCCTGATGTGAAAGTCAGGGTGGTTATGTGGTGACTTCAGTTCACTTCTGCACTACTGAACCTCCATCTTGGTCACCAGTC